TCCCAAATGTTAACAGAAGTAGAAATATGAGTGATTTTAAGCTTCACTTCATATTTTTCTTCTTTCAAAAATGTCTACAAAGAATTTACCACTTAAAACAATTATTTTAGTTTTCAAGCAAGAGTTAATTGATCAGGCCGGGCGAGGTGGCTCACACCTGTAATCCTAGCACTCTGGGAGGCCAAGGCAAGTTGACTGCCTGAGCTCACAAATTCAAGACCAGCCTGAGCAAGAGCGAGAAAGTCCCCCTTCACCTCTCTCTTAAAAGTAGCCAGGCGTTGTGGTGGGCACCTGTAGTCCCAGCTACTTGGGAGGCTGAGGCAAGAAAATCATTTGAGCCCAAGAGTCTGAGGTTGCTGTGAGCTATGACCCAACAGCACTCAATCAAGGGGGACAAAATGAGACTCTGTCTCAAAAAAAAAAAAAAGAGTTAATTGATCAAATATCAATATAATCTCTATCACAGAAAATATCTGTGAAATAAGATGATAGCTTGTCAGTATGCATGGTGAGTAATGGGTGGTGAGATCCTGGCTTGAAGTGGGGCTGAGCTGGTCTCGCCTGGCCACACAGATTGAGAATTTGGGTGATCTTAGCCTACCTGACATTCTCCAAAAGAGACCAATTAAATTTTCTAAAGGCAAACCAGCCAAGACAACTGACTCTTTCCTACCATGGTGGATATCATTTTTGGAACCTCAGTCTACATAGGTACTTATATGGTAGACTATTAAACTAAACAAAAGTAGGTCAATATAGCCAAGACAAGCTAAAGCTACCTGTAGAGAGAGGTCTACTCTATGCTAAATATTTATGAAAAATAATTTTTCTCCACTACCCATGTACACTGATGTACACATGTTAGTTTAGAGAATTGCTTAAAGTGAATGAAGTCTGATGTCCATTATTCATATTAACTAAACCAAAATCCCCGAATGGCAGCCTTTACAGAGCTGGTCTCAAAAGTGATTTTACAGAGTAAACTACTCTCTTGATTAAAAAAAAAAAAAAAAAACTCTAGTCGTAAAACTGCAAAGAATGATCAAAGCACAAAAAGATAATCTATAAAGATAAGACACTTGACAAAAGTCGTGAAAATTCAGTATAACTACCACATAGTACTTTTGCATTAATTCATTATGAAATACTATAAATTTACTATAATCTATCCATACTCATCTCTACTGTCCCCAAATGAAAAGTACTGCCAGAATCATTTTGTTACCAGAACTCCAAAGGGATTCTCAAAACATCAAGATATTTCCAAAACGTCAAGGACAGAATGATCTAGTGCCGACAGTAAAAGCTGCCAGTCAGTTAATTGCTAATTTTATTTATTTATTTATTTATTGCAGTTTGGCCTGGGGCCAGGCTTGATCTGCCACCCCTGGTATATAGCTGGTGTCCTACTCCTTGAGCCACAGGTGCTGCCCTAATTGCTAATTTTAAAAAACTTCATGAGCATTTGTTGCCCAGATATGCCAATTATTAAACATGATCATGTACTATACTAGTCTCTATCATTTTTTGCACTCTTTTAAAAGAAAATGCATCAACTGTTAAATTATTTGGCATAAAAGAACATTTAATATAATTCCTATACTTTTAAGCTGATGCCAAACAAAAGCTTATAAAGCATTTTCTGAATTATTAAATTAGTTGTACCTTGATGAAAGAGATGGAAGAATCTCAGTTTTTACTTTTCCATTTGGTTGCTATTCTGTGTGAACAGCTGATTCAAATATCACCATCCAAGAGATTTTTTTTTTTTTTTTGAGACATTCTGTCACCCTCAGTAGAGTACCATGGCCTCATGGATCATAGCAACCACAAATTCTTGGGCGTAAATGATTCTCTTGCCTCAGCCTCCCAAGCAGCTGGGACTATAGGCGCCTGACACAATGCCTAGCTAATTTTTAGAAACTGGGTCTGGCTCTAGTTCAGACTGGTCTCAACTAGTGAACTCAAGCAATCCACCTGCCTCAGCCTCCTAGAGTGTGAGGATGGTGCCCTGACCATTCAGGAGGCTCTGGTTAGGCCCATCCAATTTAAGTTCACCTGAATGTCCATGTTGTTGCACTCATGTCAGTCCATAACTTATCTTACCATTACAATTCATACAAGTTTTCAATAACTGCTCTTGCTGTAAGGATGAGTGTGCCACCTCTCATCCCTAACATCATAATGTGACTCAGGAAACTAAAGGATACATAACTGCTACATTAAAAATACAATGTCACAATGTTTTAGAGACAGTAATGTGGACAGCTGAACTGAAATTCTTTTTTTTTTTTTTTTT